AAATATATATATATATATATATAGAGAGAGAGAGAGAGAGAGAGAGAGAGAGAGAGAGAGACTGTTTTTCTCTCCAAGCACAAGGCAACCATACTTTTTTAATGTAATATGTTTTTTTATTTTTCCTTGAGAAAAAAAATGATGTCAAGGACAAGAGCTAAGAATCCCTTCTCTTGCATTAGTCTTCTGTTTCAAAAGCATAATGGTGACATTATATAACAAAACATTGTAGAAAAATTAAATAATAAAATGTTGTAGAGAAGTAGTCTGTAATAGAATATACTTAAAAAATGAACAATATTTTCCAATTAATAAGCACTGTTGTAAACCTAAAACAACAATACAGAGCAATCTCTCTTGCTAATAGAGATTACTGTATTTGTAGAAGACAAAGAAAGATATGTTTAATTGTTAGTACTGCATCAATTTAACTAACTTTCCCAATAGTTTTTCTAGTTATTTAAAACTTTTCCATGCCCTATTTTAAATCCATTATCAATATCATTGTTTCTCCAAACAGTATATATATTCGTTTTTAACTTCCAGCGTGCTTGCTAATTAGAGAAATCTTTTCTGCAAGCTTTTAGTTTATTTAATAATATTGATCAGCAGTGTATTATCTTACCTAAGCTTGTATTATGATTTCTCTTATTTCATATATTTTTTTATGGTTTGTTGCCTTAAATCTAAAACATAGTGAACATCATTTTTTAAATTTTGTATGACATTTTTATGGCCCAATTTCATAGGTTCAGCTGAATTTTTATATTCAGTTTAGTTTGAGATACAGTCTTTCCCTTACAGGAAGCTTCAGTTTGTGTGTGTGTGTGTAACCTAAAATTGTAAATGTAATTGGGCTACATAAATATCCACTATAACAGTTCAGAATGATAATGAATTAAAGATTATTTGTTTCTAGTATATGGTGAGGTGTTAGGGAAATCAATCTTTTAACTGTATTTGTATTTATACTTCTAAATATGCACACCTACAATAGGATTCAAACGATTCATTTCTAAGTAGGTCTGGTGTCCATGTGCATATTCATATTCATATGAGTGTATCTTTCAGATCACTCTTATCTTTATGCACTCTCTTTTTAAATTAAGGTCTACTGTAGAAAATCAGAATATTAACCAATTTGTTAGATATAGATTCTGCCTTTCTTGCAGGAGTTCAAGGCAGCATACACAGCCTCCTTTAATTTCCCCCCACAAAAGTTAGTAACAATTTAATTAATAATGTAACATAACTCACAGTTTCCATATATGTACACCAAATGACCTTTTTGCCAATCCTTCATTGAATCTTCATCTCCAAGGGCTTGGACTAAAGATATCTGAGCACAATAATGAAACCACTATTTTAGCTGGGATTGCTCATTAAGAAGTGTACCCCCTTGCCAAAATAAATGAAATAAAAATAATACGTAGTTGCGGCTGTTTGTAAGAATGAAGTCTAACTTTCTATGTGGCATCAAAGCTTTGTCTAAGCTGTACCAGCCAATTCAGACCGTAGATGAGGATGCACATGACTAAATGTGCATATAATGCTAAGAAAATAACTTTCATAGATAATGTACCTTGCTGGGCTTGTTTATTTTATTCATTGTTTTTTCCTTAGCGTGTAGAATCCTGTTTAATGACAGATTGGACAAATATGCATATGCCATCAGTGGATAACTGATATTCATATATAAGAACATAAGAATAAACTATACAAACATATATGATGTATTTTTATATGATTATAACTTTACCGTTTATCAAATAATAATAATACCACCACCAAAACTTTTCAGTAGAATTTACAAATAGGTTTTGTGATGAGACCAGTACAGACAATTACTAAGAAATTTGAACTTTTCAATTTCTGTGACTAACCAATTTCCCTACCGTTGTGTGAATTAATTGCTTATCCCAATAGTCACCCAAAACTTTCAGTCTGAAACCTTCCTTTTCTTCTTTTTATTTTTTCTTTTATGGCATTGTATATCCATCTACTGGCTGACAGTGTTTTTACATCTAAAATGCAAAGCAGACAGATTGGCGCTTCAGGACAGAATATAACTAAAAGCACCAGCATCAGTGGGGAGATGTATACGCTAGAGAAGAACGATGGCAGCCAATCTGATACAGCAGTGGGCACTGTGGGTGCAGGTGGAAAAAAACGGCGATCCAGTATTGGTGCAAAGATGGTCGCTATCGTGGGACTTTCACGGAAAAGCAGAAGCACCTCGCAACTCAGCCAAACTGGTAGGAATAAAATTCCAGTTTTCATTCTTTTGTTGTTCATGAAACTTAAACTTATTATCTACATTTTTAATGAAAATACTGAAGTTTAATGTAGTTCAGAATGTTTAAGATTTATGAAAATTATTATTCAGCATTTCTTTAGCACTACCACAGTATTGGGGCTATATGTAAATCTAAAGGTCTAAGTTTTCTAGAAAAGGGAGAAATGTTCTGTATTCAAACTTAGGCCATCACTTTTAGATGGAATGCATAGCTATAATGAATGCTTTTCTAAGAGTATTTGCAGCATATTTTGAAACAAAAAAAAAATTATGAACAGAAACAAAGATGCTTATAAACAAAAGCAGAAAGATGTTTATAAATCATCCCTTTTTATCCAATTTATTGTTAAATTTTGTGCTACCTAGCATCTGCTGCATATTAAAGAATGTTAGCTTATTTTTTAAAAAAAGCCCTCCTGTTGGTTTTTAACATTAATATTTAATTTTAAAATGTGATGCCAAAGGAAATAATATAATGTATAAATCAGTGTTATAAAATGGTCTGATTTAGATCATCAAAGTAACTATAAAAAACATTTTAACTGCAAAGGTCTCTGTAGGACAGTGTTACTTGATCATTGGAATAAGCTTGGTTGAAGGTTTTTTCCTACTGGATGTGCAAAGTTATATAACAATATGAAATAGGGTTTTAAATAGCAATGCTTATCTTTGAAGTGTCAGAATGCAGTTATGGTGCATTAATCTCTCAGTTGCATCCTTCACATGGCTCATCCCCTGTGAATGAATAACATAAAATGTATCCCTCTTGGTGGTTTCAGTCAATCAGCACTTCATCTATAATAAACACAACTAAATCTGGCTTTTGGTCATTATTTATCTTATGCTCAAACTAAGTGCTTGACTTGTGTCCTAATTCCTGTAATATAGTAACTATATAGCATGGTGGTTGTATGGATTAGGGGAAACACACTTGATTCTGTTCTCAGTAGTTTGAGATAGATCATCCTAAGGACGATCCAAAATTGCTTGGAGAATAGTAGGATAGTGCTATCTGGCATTAAGTTAGCACTAAAGACAAAAGGCAAGTAATTATCAGTTCCTCCAAATTGTCAGTTCCTTAAAAATATATTGTTGTATTTATAAATACTAAATATTTGTACTGTAAAATATGTACTTACAAGTTCAGTTTAATGTTCTTGCAACATAAGTGTAACTTTATGTTTGAAGATGTATTCCTAATGTATCTGTTCATTTATATAAAGCATCTATAAGCATACAGGTAGTCCTTGAGTTATGATGGTAATTGGGACCAGAATTTCCATGGCTAAGTGAAGTGGTCGTAAAGCGCGACTTTACATGACAGTATTGCTTAGTGACAGCAATCCCTGAAGTCCCTGTTGCCATCGTTAACTGAATCCCATCTGTCATTAGGCGCGGACCCACCCCAGTCCAAGTCACTCCCAGCTTGGTCCCTCCCAGCCCTGAGCCTTGGTAAGGTAAGGGACTGCCTTCTCTTGAACTCCCCCCACCCGCCTATCTCCCCCCATCTCTTTCCTTTTGGCTGCTTAGCACTACTCTGCTGGCCCTACTGCTCTGCGCTCTGCTCATCCTGCCACCCTGTTGGCCCTGCTGGCCTTGCCACCCTGCGCTCTGCTCGCCATGCTGCCCTGCCATCCCTGTGGTCAGAAAGCTTCTGAGGCCTTCCAAAGCATTGCGAGAATGGCCCATGTGGGTATGGCCTTCTCACAAGATTTTACAAGGCCTCAGAAGCCTTCCAAAGGATCACAAGAACGGCCCTCACTATTTGGAGAATGGTGCGAATGGCCTCGGGAAGAAGGCCGAGTGCAGCCAGCAGTTGCCTTTCATAAGGCCTTGCCAGGCACGCCTTATCAGCAGCAGGATGAAGACGGTGAAGGGATACAGAGCCGCAAAGCCATCAGGGCGGCCAAGTGGCAGGGTGAGTGGAGCATAGGGCGGCAAGGCTGTCAGGTTGGCAAGGCGAGTGGAGTGCAGGGCAGCTAGGGCTTTGCGCTGTAGTGCTGTGGTGGCTGGCCGCGGCAGGGGGCTTGAGGTGGTACTCCTCAGCAGTGATATAGGGCTGAAGTAGAAGTGTGGTGACAGCTGGCTGAGACTGCTGAAGGCCCTGGGCCTCTACTTCAGCCTAGCACTGCTGCCGCCAAGAAGTGCTGCTATCTAAGGTGGCTAGAAGGGCAGAGATGGGGGGAAATAAGCGGCTGGGGGTAATTGAAGTGCCCTTGTGGTCGTAAGTGCAGGTGGGTTGCTAAGTGCCCAAATTTTGATCACATGATCATGGGGGTGCTGCAGTGGTTGTTAACTTGAGGGACCAGGCGTAAGTCCATTTGTTCAGTGCCGCCACAACTTTGAATGGTCGCTGAATGAATGGTTGTAACTTGAGGACTACCTGTAGTTACAGTTTATGCCTATAAAATAATATCTTTTTTAATGTAGATGAAAATAATGTATGTAGCAAGTTACATAACGAATGGTTCCCAGTCCCTTCTCTGTCTATTAGAATTGTTTTTACATTTATGCTCAACATAAACAGGTATTTTAATTTTGAAATACTAACTGCAGGATTCTGGACAACCCTACCTGCTGCCAACTTTGCTCTAATGACATCAGCTTTTATGTATGAATTTATAATACCAAATGATAATGCAAAGTTCAGATGGAAATTTATGAACATACATTTTTGTACATATGGATATTTTTTTCCTGCAGGTGTTCATGTTCAAAACACAAGTATCTGTAGAAATCAGTGTCATTTGACTGGCATTGTTGGGGAGGGGGCTTATCTGGAATGATAAATACTTCAGAAGATAAGTGTAGAGAGTAAGGGAGGTGACCTTGACAGAAATATACAAGCAAAGGGGGCTGAAGCATTCTTTAAGCCCTGGAAAACAGAACATTATTTGGAAGTGGATCAGATAAAGGCCTTCCTCATTCACCACATTCACTATAGTGTAACAAGGAAGGGAGGTACAGCACAATCAGACTTGCAAGATTCTGTTGTTATAGGCTATCTTAATAAAGTGTGGTTCTGGTCTTCTGTGGTGTTGATTTTCTGGTCTTGTCTATCTAGTGGGACTGACAGTAAATCCTGAACAAGGCTCTCGTATCAGGGCATATAGTTTCTGAATAATCTATTCATATATTTACCAATCCTAAATCAGTAAGGTTATCACATTATGCGCTTTCATGTAATCAGGCATACTGAACATATTACTGTTTCCAGTGGCACTGACAAACTTCATTAATATATTGATTTTAAAAGGCAGCTCATAACATCATAGCATTTAATACTTGCTACATAATGTTTATTTCTATAATAGCTGATGTGGAAAAAAGCTATACTTCCTGTATGTATTTTATATTAAATGCAGTAACCAATACTTCTATATTTGCAGTTAAAGTGAACTACCTCATAATATGCATACCTAAAACTGATCTTTCTTGTAGTGTAGTGTCAGTCTGTTTTAATATCAGTTAGATCTGAGTGTTAAGATGGAAAATGTTAAGTAAATTGCAATATTTTGTCTCTTAAACAATAAATAAAATACTTTAAAGTATTATTTTAGAATAGTATTTTATATCATTCATTCTGTTGCAAATTTTCCAGATTCAAGATCAAAAGTGAGAATTAGTGTAAATAGGGTTAATGCATTTAGAATTTAATGCTGGAAAAACTCAGTTCAAAAAGGCAATAAAGACACTACAGTTTTACTGGACTTATTGAGTTCAAGTTGCTGGGTATGTTAAACTGTTTTTTAAATAATGCTAGCTATTTTTAAATGATGTTTTTCATGGGTTTTTTTAGAATTATATTTATGATATTTAATATGAGTCAGAGTTGGTTTGGAGTGGAGCAGTGCCTAAAATGGATTAAATTAATCGGGTATTTAAAAATTATGTAAATAAATAAATAAATAAATAATGTAAATAAAATATACATAAGAAAAACTGACATACTGCAGAGAAAAAAGGTGGTAATAATCACATTGTACAGATAAAGCACAGAATGTGTGTACTTGTCAAATTTTCAAAATGTTTTATTTTCTCCAGTTATTAGTTCCTTCTATCCTTTTTCTGTATCTGTCTAAAACTTTGTATGTAAGTTTATGCATGTATCTCCTAATACACACATTTTAGACTTTTTCCTTTTCTAATGCTTCTTTTCTACTAATTCATGGATTTTGTCCCATGTATTCTTAATATAAACATTCTGTATACATTGTTATGTGTTTTTAGAGAATTCCATCACAAATTCTGAGAAGTGCTAGTACTGAAGAATGGCAACATTCCTGTTCACATCAAATATTGATTCATAACATGTATTATTTACAAGCCTGTATCAGAATGTGAAGTGAATGAAATTCTCTGTCATCCCTAGCAAAGAAGGATTGAAAAGTTCCTTTCATTTTTATGAGTTTGTAACAGCAGCTATAGTAAGCACCTTGTGTGATCTGCATGTTTATATCATGGAGTTAGTTTATCATAGACATAGGAATATAATGGAGGAACCCGTCATTCAAATTTAATATTACATACTGTGTTCTGTTTTGTTTATACCAGATGGAATGGGAGGATTAATTATTATCATCTCTGCTAAAAATGTTGGCAGTCTTTTATAGAGAATGGTAGTAGAATTGTGGATCTCTTTTAAAACTCTTATTTAGAATTTTAGTTTATGAATCTTAGGATGATAAGATAGTTTTGTTGAAAGATTCCAGAATCTTTATATTTAAATGCCTTTAATTCAGAAATTTATTTCCTTTGTCTCTTAGAGGAATACATTAGCTTGCTTTAGTTTTCTGATACTTCTTCCTATATTTGTACCTGAGTTTATTGTAATGGTTCATTAAGTATTGTATTTGCCTAAAAGGACTTTTCCCCCAAAAAATTTAACTTTAAAACGGTGGTGGAGGATTGCCTTAGATTTACTAGGAATACGATAGGGTAGGTAGATGATATTTTCTT